TCTTAATTTCATTGCTTTTGGCGAGGATCTGATCGCAAAATAATGTAGCTCTAGCGTTGGTTTCATCTGGAATAGCTGCGACTCTACTAGGAGGCGGGCGAACTGCACATTCTGCCTTGAAATTACCATTAAACATGCAAATCAACGAAACACCAATTTGCAACATATCCAAAAATAGCGTAATGACCAAGATCCTACAGGTATGCAAATTGATTATTTGGGATGAATGCACAATGGCCCATAAGAGGTCACTGGAGGCCCTGGACAGAACGTTGAAAGATCTTCGTGACAACCAAAATATTTTTGGTGGGACCATGATTCTGTTATCAGGTGATTGTCGTCAGACTCTTCCAGTCATTCCCCGATCAACTGTTGCTGATGAACTAAACGCACACCTGAAATCATTGAATTTGTGGCGGTACGTTAAGACACTCCAATTAACAACTAACATGCGAGTATTTTTGCAACAAGATGAAACTGCAAATGTGTTTTCGAAGCAGCTGTATAATAAATAATAAAGTCGCAGTGGACACCTCGACCGGATTAATCACATTACCCACAGGTTTCTGTCACATCACAGACTCCAATGAAGAGCTTATTCAGCATGTTTTCTCAGATATAGCGCAGCAGTTCAATAACCATAATTGGCTGGGTGAACGAGCAATATTGGCGACAAAAAATAAAAATGTCGATGCTCTCAATGCAATCATTCAAAATTTTTTACCGGGACAGTTGGTTTCCTACAAATCAGTCGACACCATTATGAACCAGGATGACGTAGTCAACTATCCCACGATTCCCACGGAGTTTTTAAACTCGCTGGAATTGCCTGGATTACCACCACACAATTTGCAGTTAAAAGTAGGATCAGTTACCATCATGCTGCGTGACATTAATCAACCTCGACTGTGCAATGGAACAAGACTGGCTGTGAAAAAGCTAATGAATAACGTCATTGAGGCAATAATCATAAAGGGAAAATACAAAGGAGAAGATGTCTTGATCCCGCGCATACCGATGACTCCAACAGATTTACCATTCGATTTTAAACGTCTACAATTTCCCGTACGTCTGGCCTTTTCGATGACTATAAATAAATCGCAAGGCCAGTCGTTGGAAGTTTCCRGAATCAACTTAGAGTTTCCCTGTTTCTCGCACGGACAATTATACGTCGCGTGTTCGTGCGTCGGAAAACCGTCAAATTTGTTTATTTACGCAACACAAAACAAAACAAAAAATATAGTTTATCAGAAAGCTTTAAATTGATTAACAGACTGTATCGTAACTGTGTGTGCCTATTAATATCAATTKAAACCTTATAAGTAGCCAGTATTTCAGGAAAACCCTGTTTTGTAAGTATCTCATTGTTGTGACGTGACTATTTTTAAGCAAAATCATGTGTAATAAATAAAACCTCATTCATACCGAGCATTTTTTTTTTTTAAATTACTGATTCCTTTTGTTTGTTTTAAGTTTTTTATAYAAAAGTTTAGCTTTTTTATTTATCGAACRAGGCAATAAGAAGTCGAAAAAATCCCGGTTTTCACCTGAGGTGACTTTTGCCCGGGCAACGCCGGGTGGGACATAATGTATATTATTCTCARTATTATAAAACAGGGCTTACTAATTTTATTTATGCGTAGTTGTTGTTGATTTCCCAATTTCAAGTTGCTCGTTATGTTTATTCTCAGAATTACTATACCTAACAATTTTTCCTAGGCCCTACTAGAAGTTATTGGTTGAAAAACACGTCTTTTGAAAAAAAAATGTTGAAATACATGAAGTTCGTKGCAAGGTAAATTTTAGCCTTAAGTTTMAATATATTCAAGTTTATCGATGTTTAGGAATGGCGGCTTAAATGCACTTTACCACCCCCCTCAAAATTTTCGATATTTTTTTTGGAACATACTTATATTAACTATTTAAGAACGATGGTGCAATCAGAATTTGTCGTTCGGACTTAGTTTCGAAGTTATGGGCTTTGGAAGTTAGCAATTTTATGTTTTTTACGCATGAGCGCAACGTTGCGTTTATCACGTCTTTTACGATTTTTTTGTTTTT